AAATCACGAAAATTCGCAAATTATTTTAAACTAGAAATTATTAAAAAAATTTCTTTTTAAACCTAAGATTTGAAAATTTTTAATAATCTATAATATATCCTAGACGATAAACAAATAAACAGTCTTCGCTCAGAATCGTTTTTCGTATACAATGATATAATATCATTGGATTCAAATTTAATTGTATCCATTACAGTAACCCACTTGTAACCTACTGTACAGCAGAGCGACATCCACGACTTACTCGACTTTTTATCATTTACTTTTTAAAATTTTTTTTAGTAGCCTATAAATTTATAATTCTTTTTTCAACAGAACAATCGCAGAATAAATGAGTACCACAAGTTGTTTATGATACAATAAAKTACAATAATTCCGATGTAATATTATTCAATTTTTTTTTTAATAATAGAAGCTAAAATAATATAATAAGTAATAATTTTTGGATACAAACGTTTTTTTTTGTGCATATTTTAATATTTTTTAGTGCATACTTAAGCGCTTATAACAATCTTTTTTAGAGCTATGAGTCATGTGCTCTGCTTATAACATAATATGGAATATATGTATGTTCAGTAGTTCACATTTAGGTTCATTAGTTTACAAATTAGAGTGAATTTGACCTAGGGAAAGTTAATTCCTAATGGTTAGAATCTAAGAAAACTATGTGGTTTTTACGATGATTCAATTTTAAGTGGGTCTTATAAGAGTAAGCACCTATATAAAATATAAATTAATAGCTTCAATAATAGCAACGAATGTTCATAACTCGCTAAAACTTGAATCATCGTAAAAATCAGACAAACGAATACCTGCGATAATGTTTCCATCATAAAAAGGTCATAATAGGTTGATTTGCCATAATACTTTTAAACCAACAAACCTAAATGTGAATTACTGAGAGTACATTTGCTATGTTACAACGTTGGCACTTGTTTGAGACTGAGACAATAAAAATGCGGGTGTGGCGTTCTCTTAAGGCATCGAAGTTAATGCATTTACATCGAGTTTGTAGATGTTTACATAAAATGTGTTTCACCTTAATATTGATTTAAATACAATTTCCTTTTATTTCAGTGCCTACCATTTTAACTGTTTTTTTTTTGACACATTGTATAATATATTTATTTATACCTATACACGGATATAGGTATAAACATATATTTTCAAATTTTTGTGATGTCATAGTCAGAATCTTTCAAAGATTTAAGCGCCATTTTCGACAAAGAAAGCGCAAACACAAAAACCGACAACGACAGTGTCATAATAATATATACCAATATTGTTACCAAACACGCTCGTCATAAATCTAATACCACTCGAATCGTGTTAGGTATATATATGTCTGTCTACATACCAATAATATAGCCGATCGAAACAATCGTTTCGACATGCGTATTAAAATTTCGTAGGTACCCACTTTTATACGCAATAAGACTTAAGGTTTATGTCGAAATGTTGAGATAACGTGAGGGAAATATAGTACTAGCTATTATAAAATAACCCATTTATGTGTGTTTATGTACATAATAAATAACAGCAAGGGCGTGGGCGTTGCACGACAGGAAACGACTAGACCGACCCTTCTATCGTAAGACTTTGAATTCTTGGTCATTCCGCCAAAATGCGCGCTCTAAGCAGGGTCTTGGTTGCGGCATGCGCGATTCTTACGCTGTCCTTTTGCGACGCTTCCTCCGTAGCATTCAGGGCCAAACGTGGAGTAGTTCCCGGTAATGCGGCCTCCAGGCCCAAAGGTTAGTATACATT